TGCATCTTACTAACTGCCACCTTTAGGACTAATCTGCTGCCATGAGCAGCCTGGCCAGGGCATGTTGGTCTCTACATAGCAGATCTATTTTTCCCAGCATGCCCCTTGAAGCCCACACAGTCTGGCTGCCTGTCCTGTCTGTCCCCAGGGAGATGGCAACCATTGCCCTGTCACGCCCCCACAAGTCCAGCCCACAGTGAAGTGGAAAATGGGTCTGTTTGTTGTGGTGGTTGTTCTTGGAGCTGAGCTGCCTGGGGTGGGGGTGGAGGTCTTGGGATAAGGCACCTTGGTCTCAGATGCAGAGTGGTCACAGATGGAGGAGGCACAGGGGACCCTTAAAGCATTCCAGGGATTGCTTGTCTAGAGCCTGAGGTTGGAGCAGGTACCTCTGTTCGACTCAGATCGAGCTGTGTTGGTGTGTTCATCAGCTGACCGGGGCTGGCACTCGGGTGCATCCTACCTGGTGATGAACCTCACTCCTCAAAACCACAGGAGAGGATGCTGCTGGATGCTCATGCACTGTACCCAAGCACTAGCTGACTGGGCAGGGCCTGGCCCCCAAGTCTGCCACAGGCCAGGCCCTGCTGCCTGGTGCTGGTGGTGTTCAGTACCAAGGACAGCAGTTCCCAGGTGCGGCCCTCCCTACATCCATCCCGGCAGCTAGGGGCTGAGGCGCTGGAGGGGGAAGGCTGCGTCCTCTGCTGTGCTGTGGCTCTCCTCTCTGTTCTTGCTAGGCCTGGGAAGAGGAGATGACTCCTGGTCACTCTCTGAACCTACTCTGGCCAGGACAGGGGTGAGTAGAAGCTGGGGCGGGGTCCCCAGGGTGACCGCTACTGAGTTGGGAAACCCTGTGGGCAGGAAGGGTATGGTAGGTACACACAAGGATGTGCAGACAGGATGTGCCCCCCCCCTCCGCCTGCATACATCCCAACGCCTGGCTGTTTCTGAGGCCCTGCCAGGAGCTAAGTCCACCAGTGGCAGGGCTGGGGAGAGGCTAGGGAGATGTCTGGCACAGCATCCACTCTGATGGCCCTCTGGGAGGGTTGGCAAGAGGTGAGCGTTGAGAGTTGCTAGTTAGAGATAGCCTGAGGGGAGGAGAGGCCCTGGGTCCAGGTCACTCAGGGCCTGGCTCCTGGAAGTACCTGACTAAGACATTGCCTCTCCTGTGCTGGCCTCATAGTCCTGGGACAGGACTTGTGAAGCCAGCTTAATTTAGTCAGTTATTGTGACACTGGTGGTATTTATACCCCAGCACCCCTGGGCTGCCAGGCCCTGAGACATCAGTGTTGTGTGGAGTCGGAAGGGCCTGTGGAAGCCACGCCTCCCTATCCAGCCCGTGGCCCTTGTCCATATGCTCCTGTCAGCAGGTGGCCCAAGTGTATGTGCACCTGCCCAGGACCAGCCACACCCAGGAGGGCAAGCTCTGGGCATCATGTGCTCTGGGTTCTCTCCACAGGACAGGCAAGCTGCTGTAATCTGGCCAGGCCTGCAGTGAGGCCCACGTGCAGTGGACACGTGAGGCTTGAGTTGCTGCTCATGATGTGTTGGCAGGAGGGGATGCAGAGCAGTGCAGGTGTGAAGGTCTGTGATGACTCTGTGGGAAGAGCTGATGGTTACTCTTTTCCTCTGGCTGTAGTGGATGGGCTACATCTTGGCCACGTGAAGGGGCGACTTGAAGAAGCCACCTGCCTTACAGAGAGGAGTTGGGTCTTGAGAGCTTGGCCCTGAACCCAGATCTGTTAAAGTCCGGGATATATCAGGAGATCCTGGGGCATTGGGAGCTTGAGAGCTGCATGTAAACGCTGTCTGTGTCTTCCTGGTGAGGCTTCTGAGGAGCAGAATCCTGGGATGTAGTCACGGGGACCCAGTGGATAAGCAGACAGTGACAGCCATGTGTTTCCCAGGTGCCCTGACCAGGTATGGAAAACCAGAAAAGGAGCTGACAGAGTGGATCATGGGACCCAGTGCCTGTGTAGCCACAAGTTTGCTTATGATACAGTGGGGTCAGCTGGCAAGGGGACCTGGAGAGGGCCCTGGACAACTTGGCCGCTTGTGAGAAGGGTTGTGCGATGAGGCCCTGAGCTCTTCCTGTGGTCACTTTGAGGTGGACACCAGTCATGAGGTGTGCAGGCTGGTAATGCTGCCAAGTGAGCATACCTGTGTGTCGAGGATAAGGCATCCCTGGGCTGCCACTCCTGGCATTCCAACCTCAGACTGCGCATGGCCAGGGGAGCTGGGAGACTGTACAAGGTCTCTCCCCAATGTGGTATTGTCACTTGCCTGGGATATGACACCCAAATTAAAGAGTGGCAGGCCACCCCAGTGGCCCTCACTGGACAGGGGAGCAGGTCCTCAGCTGTGCTCGACTTCTGTGACTTTTGCATTCATGGTTCCCAGGACTGGAGGGGAGGGACACTGGCTCCTGGGTCTTTGTCCAGTGTTCCCAGGCTTCTGGCCACCAGCCTAGGTCTCCTACAGGTCCTAGGGAGCCATGTCTGCCTCCTGGATGGTAGCCCCCCACCTCTTTGCTCCCCACTGCCTATGGGTATCCCTGGGAGCTCCTTGGTGCTCACCCGGCCCAACCCAAGGCAAGGTTCCTTCCTTCTCTCTCCCTGAATGAAGCAGTGGCCCTTTGGGGCCGGTGTGCTCCAGAGGGCAGAGCAGTGTGGCCTGGGTGCTGAATTGTGGCTTCTTCCCCCAGGAAGTGCCCCCCCCAGCAGTGCTTTCAGTTCTGTTGAACTGAGTAGTGGGTAGGGGATGTTGGGAATGTTGTCCTGCTGCCCTCACCCAGGCATGGCTCCTGTCCCTGCTTCCAGTGAGGGACAGAACTGCTCAGAACTGAGACACCCTGTGCTCCATGGGCACCTGGTTGGTTCCAGAGCTGATTGGCCGCAGGTACTCACCTGCCCATCCCCTCTGACTCTCCAGCCAGGCTCAGGAGCCCTGGGTGTCTCTGGGTGGGGGTGGCCCTGCCAGGGCCTGGGACCCTCATACTCATGTTGAATTCACCCTTGGGAGGCCTGGGGACCCTTCTTGAGAGCATGGAGGCCCCGGGCCCCTCCAGCCTGCAGCGTCCTGCAGAAGCAGTGCACAGTTGGTGACTCCTCAGGCTTCAAGCTCGGCCCCACCCTGGCAAAGCCCCATACAATTATCTGTGTGACACGGCATACTTTCCCCCTCAATGTGAGTCTGCGTCTGTGTAATGATTAGAGACAAGAAGTACAATAGGAAAATAAGCCCCAGTGAGGTGGAGGGCTGGGTAATGGGGTGACCGTGGGCTTCCAGCCAGAAAGCTGCCTGTCCCCAAGGCTGTAGGCCAGGGCTCCTGAGTGTGTACTCCCCATTCCTTGCCACAGGGATCCCAGGCATCCAGCCCAGGGAACCCCTACTTGCTCCTGTTCCTGGGGCAGGACCCCATTTTCTCATGTGGAGGCAGGGAGGGAATAGCCCAAAGTGTCAGGAGAACTTTATTAAGGAGCGGCATTTCAATCCTGGGTTTTGCAAGGTATATAGGAGTGTTCAAGGTGCTGTGATGGAGAATGGGCTTTCTGTACATACTGGTGAAGGTTGGGAGGGAGCAGCCTGTGCACCAGAGTTAGCCCAGGATGGCTCCCCTGCACTCTGGCCATGCTGTATGCAGAGCCAAGGTAGAACTCATTCACTTGAGCAGAGGCCATGGTCCCCCATCCCCAGGAGCCCTTGAGTGACTGAATTATGGATAGCAGTTGTCAGCAACACCCACCCTCCAGGCAAGTGCTTTTTCTTCCCTATCTGAGTGGGAATCACAGGTGCTCAAAGGCACCAGATCAAAGGCAGCCAGCAAGAGGTCCCAGAGCCTGTGCCAGGCCTCAGAGGCAGCTTTCTTGGCCACAGTGCCCTACCCAGGCCACCTCTTAGCCTGGGCTCCCACGTGGGAACCTGGGCTTTCCCCTGCCATGGAAGCCCAGCTCTGTACTCAGATTCCTAGGACCCCCAACCCTGGCCCCCTGGGGCACAGGAAGAATCTAACTGTCTCTAGGCTGGCCCTGGATCTGGCAGAGGTGAGAGGGACCCTTTCTGGTGATGGCCAGCAGAAAGCAGAGCTGGACCAAGATCACCAGCCATGAGGCAGGAGCTGCCATGACCAATTCAGGGAGGGTCGAGGTGCTGTTCCAGCAGAGTGAGCCACAGCAGAGGGTCACGGGAGACCACACATGAGAACAGCACAGGGCCAAGTCCATGGAAAGGTGGGGTGGGGCTAGAGGATGTAAGTAGCCACTTCTCTTCTTCAAAAAGATGAATTTCCCACTGGGGCAGAGGGCTCTTGCAAGTTGAGAAGAAAACAAGCATGCTTATAGGCATGTGCCACTACTCAAGTGGGGAAAGAAGTGGATGGATGCGTGGAAAGATACCCCACGTCTCAAGTAAGCTCACAGAAATGTGTGATGGTCTGAAATTGGAATGATTCTGTGAGCTAGAGATCCTACCGTGGTTACAGCACACCTACATGCTCTGCCCCGGTGTAGCTGAGTGGACAGCACCGTGGCTGAACTTGATGGCAGTGGGCTATGATGGCTAAGGCTGTGGGGTGAGTCACCAGGGCCCTGTGAGCTGATGAATGAGGTGATTGGCAGAGCATGTTGCCCTTTGGGAGTCTGGGGTGGAGGGCTAGGACTGTGGAAGGCTGGAGATAGTCTTGGGCCTGCCCTGCAGAAGTCTTCAGGTAGGGGTTGTGGATAGGAGTGTGTTGGGAGCAGGGTGGCTCTGGACCCAGACTCTGCACTCTGGCTCTTCATTTGGGGGTGTCTTTGGCCTGGGGGAGAGGCTCTGGTGATCTGGGAGAGGGATGACAGCCCACAGAGAACTCAGGCTCCAGGAGGCATCTGGCTTTGCTGCAGTGAGCGAGCACCTTTCCATGGAGCCGTTCTGGTCAGTGAGCAGGGAGCACCTGGGGTGGCCAGAGGCCAGGGAATCTGGAAGGCTTGGGGATTGTGAGGGAAGATGTAGACCCCCAGATGAGGATGGGATCCTTGCTGTCTGGAGTGTGTGTGGTATGTGCTGAGTCCAGCCTCTCTCCCACAGGCCTGGTGAAGCTGGGAATCCATTGTGTCATCTGCCGGAAGGTAGCCATCAAAATGGTCAACCGTGAGAAGCTCAGTGAGTCGGTACTGATGAAGGTGAGGCAGTGGGCTGAGGCAGGAAGACAGTACCTGGAGGGCTGGCCCAGAGTGTCCAGGACTAGCATGGGTGGTTTCTGCTTACGCTCCCTAAAGCCGAGTCCAGGGGCCCTCCGGATTCCTGCCAGAGTAACAAGATGCTACTAGGCCGTTCCACACTCAGGAAAGGTTCCCCTTGCCTTGCCCTGGCTGGCCCAGGAAACAGGCCCACAGTAGACAGTGGAGGTGCTAGGCTAATCTGCTGAAGGAGCTAGCTGGTCCTTAGTTGCCCCGATTAGATTGGGGAGGTGCCCCCTGCCCCGAGACCCATCCCATCAGAACCAGGCTGTTGTGAGGAGGGCAGGACAGCCTCCTGCTGTGGACTCGGAGAAGCCAAGGGACCTGAGGAGCATGACATCTGTGAAAGAAGACAGCAGCTTAAGCGGGGTGTTGGGTGGCTGACCCTGCTTTGGGGGTGAGGCTAGGGGCTAGTGTTGAACTGGGAACACAGAGTGGATAGAACCCATGGCACAAGGGCCTGACGTATGGGGTCGAGACTTGGTACTGTGGGTATTGTACACATGGGCCCACATGGAGGTGAAAGGTTTGGGGACAGGGTGGCCCATGAGAGGCTGGTGCCCACCATATTCTGGTGGTTTCTCACTGCCAGTGTCTGGGGCCAAGTTACGTGTGGGCAAAGCTATACTCCTTGGAGGTGTGGTCATCAGCTCAGAAACAGACTTGGAGGAGGCAGCATGCCCTCTGGGAGAGAGGCAAAATGGTGCCAGGCTGGAGCCAGCTGTGTGTCTACCGTTCCCTGTAGGTACAGCCCCCTACATGCACATGATGCCCCCTGCACATACACGCTGCCCTCTCCATGCACGCTTGGACCACTGCATGTTCATGCTGGACAACGGGCATGCTCATCGACAGCTCTGCCCTGGTCCCCACTCTCAACTTATGCAGAGCCCCTACCCAAGTCATCTGTCCTGGCCTGTGCTCCTCCTTGGCTTCTTGAGGAATAGCAAGGCCCAAACTATAGATGTAGCATCAGAACCCTAAGAGGTGCAGGCAGGCCCCTGCAGGAGAGCCTGCTGATACCTTCCATCAGCTACGCCCTGTCTTAGGTTGACTTTCTCTCAGAAGATCTTACCCGTCTTTGACTACCGGCCTCTGTTAGGGGAGGGAGCACAATCTCCTATCATGCACAGCAGCCTTGACTTACCACAGGATTTCATAAATAACTTTACTGCCACCAGATGAAAACAAAGACAGGAGGAAAAGCATGCCAAGTCCCACTAAACCATAGGACGACAATGGTAAGGTGGCTCTCAACCTTTTTAGAATATCTGCCACTGCTTATAGGGTGGAAATGCGGAGAATTTTTTTTCTATTATCTCTTGGGAATAACACTTTGACATTGGTACAATATCCACTTTGTCCCACAAGCACACAGTCATCTACTTGTACACACCTGAACTTATTATTTTTAACAAAACAAATAGGCAACCCACTTCTCAATCCAAAATAATAAAAATTCATCGCCACTTGCATCATCTGGCATTTTAAAGCAGGCTGAGCAATTAACCAAGAGTCATTCACAGTCACTACTATCTCTTTTTCCTCCCATATCACAGGGTGCAATATTGTGGATGAGGAACATAAGTCCAGTATAACTCAGCCAAGATCATTTGCAGGAACATCATCATCAGCCATGTTTGTGTCATCATTCTTTTCTACTTCTTTTTCTTTGGCGCTCATCCACTGAACCTCACCAGCATCTCCGGCAGCCACCTGGCTCCATCAGCATCCTGTGGAAAAACACAAACATGCCCTCTTCCCCAAATCAATACAGGGTCTGGGCCATTCCATTGTCCAGTTAGAGGATCCTTCCACCTGACTTGGGCGTAGGTATTCTGTGACTGAGGATGCCACATTCTATCTGCCGCAGAGTGGTTGTTTTTATCCAAATTCAAAAAGTTTAAAATGAAAAGAGTATGATGTAAAAAAATTTTGGTATAGCCAGAGCCATTATCTGTTTTTATGATGTTAGGGATCCCAGCTATGGAAAAGCAAGTCAAGCAATGAGTTATAACATTTTTTGTGGCTTCCCCTGTTTGCACAGTAGCCATAATAAAGCCAGAAAATGTATCTATAGTAACATGTACATACCTTTGCCTGCCAAAATCTGCAACATGAGTAATGTCCATTTGCCACAGTTGGTTGGGCTTCAGCCCTCTAGGATTAACCCCATAATGAGGAACAATTTGTGTTTGAGGGCAAGATGAGCATTGTCACACAATTTGTCTTGCAGCTTCCTTAGTAATATGAAATTGTTTTCTCAAACTTTGGCTATTTTGGTGATGAATGGCATGAGAATTTGTAGCTTGCTCTACCTGAGTCAATCCTATAAGCTGAGTGGCTTCATCTGCCAAGGCATTTCCCAAAGCTAGTGGCCCAGGAAGACCACTATGCGCTCTGAGATGTCCTATATAGCAAGGATATTTTCTAGATTTAATACTATTTTGCACTTGTCTTAACAGTAAACAAATCTGAACGTTCCTTGTTTCAATAAAAGGTACTGTTTCAATTTCCTGTAGAGCTCGAGCTACATAATGACTATCTGTATAGAGATTGAAGGGTGTTGAGGTCAGAAGCTGGAACACTGCAGCTACAGTGTGAAGTTCCACTACCTGTGCTGAAGCAGGGGAAGTTTGAAAAGAATAACTTTGCCCAATGCTTCCCTCGTTTACAATGGGGACATCAGCCTGGCTCTTTCTCTGACCTCCTCTCTGCTTATTAGGGCACTGTTTCACTTGATGTCCCAACTGGCCACACCCGAAGCAGCTCCCCCCAGGTCCAGCCACCCGTCCTTTTGACCCTTTTGTTTGTTGAAAAAAATACCTACTGAATAGGCTTTCCCTGCAATGCCGCAGCCATGGCTACTCCTTGGATGTAAGATGGCCCAATATCAGAGCATAATCTTATATAGTCTGATTAATCACCTTTCTTTCTAAAAGGCCTAATAGCAGCTTGACAGGCATTGGCATTCTCAAACGCAGGCTGTTTCACTAGAAGTAAACTGGCTTCGCTGTCCCCCAGCAAGTGACTGGCAGTTTGCAGCAATCGAGCCACGAAATCCTGTTATGGCTCATCCGGACCATG